TGAGGAGGAGGAGGATGAGGATGAGGATGAGGATGAGGATGAGGATGAGGATGAGGATGAGGATGAGGATAAGGATGATGATGATAATGATGATGATGATGATGATGATGATGATGATGATGATGATGTGATGATGATGATGATGATGATGATGATGATGATATGATAATGAGGAGGAGGAGGAGGAGGAGGAGGAGGAGGAGAAGGGAAAACGCGACCACAAAACTTTACCTGACTCGGCCTCGACCGCTGTGCAAAAATCAAAAGGTCGCCAGGCAAACCGGGAACACCACACGAGCTGACCTGCGATAGGGAAGCGCACCTGCTTCTGCCTCCTCCTCCTCCTCCTCCTCCTTCTCCTTCTCCTCCTGCTCCCACTCCTCCCCCTCCTCCTCCTCCTCCTCCTCTTCCTCCCGCCTCCTCCTCCTCTCTTTCTCTCTCCTCCTCCCCTCTCCTCTCCCTTCCCTTCCTCTCTTCCCCCTCCTCCTCCCTTCCTGATCCTCGCTCCTCTCCTTCTCCTTCTCCTTCTCCTTCTCCTTCTCCTCCTCCTCCTCCTCCTCCTCCTCCTCCTCCTCTGGTGACGGACCGCGTGGTGACCTCGGAATCCCCAACGACCTCACCGCGCGGTCCGTCACTGCACGATTTTGTTGGGACCCTGGAGGCTCCCGTCGCCCGACACGTCCTCGGAGAACGACCCGAGTCCCGAAACCGTGCGGTGACCCTGAATCCTCACTGACTCACCATGCTGCTTGGTCACCACAACGTTCGGGGGCGCCCGATCCTCTTCTTCCCCTGCACGCCCTCCCCTCTCCTCCCCCAGAGGTCTCCAGGCTCATGCAAGTCAGGCATCTCGATCCTGCTCCCTTTTCCCCTCCTCCCCCCACTTCCTCCAAGTCCTGCTTGCGAAGGCCCAAGGGGCCTTCCGGTCCCGCATGAAGGAGCCGATCCTCGCAGAGAGCTCTGTGGTCACCTCTACAGAGTGCACGGCTCCCTCGTGGACGTCGTCGTCATCGTCGTCGTCGGAGTCTGAGGAGAAAGGAAGATGGAGGGGGAGGAGGGAGGATGAGGATGCTGACGCTACAGGTGTGCGTGTGTGTGTGTGTGTTGTGTGTGTGTGTGTGTGTGATTGTGTTGTGTATGTGTGCGCGCCTAGCAGCTTGCCTAACACAATTTTCTGATCGGAGTTGCCCACAGAAGAATGTGAAGGGCTTCGCGGGATTAACTGAGCATAACGTAACACCATGAGTGAAGGCCCATAACATTCAGGTGTACGCATGGAAGAGACGAATGCAAGCAGGGGAAGCAGCAAGGAGGACGAATAATAACATGGTATTAGCATGGCCCGCGCCGTCTGGCACGGCCTCCCCGGAGAGGCAACGCGGTGCCAGGAAGGCTGAAGTGTGGGGGCGCCACGGAATCTGAGACATCACGCGAATTTCGCATAGCACGCTAGGCCATGTGGTCGTGGGAAGGACGGAGAGGTGGGGAGGGCACGATCCCTGATGACTAACACGGTCTGCTCACAGCTCGCTCGGTCCGACGCGGCCTCCCCAAAGGGGGAACACCCTCCAAGGAGGGCAGGGCTGAACCTAAACGGTGTTTTTAGTTTTCGTGTTGTTTTCGTGTTGTCTCGTTCTGTCTTCAACCCACCTCTACCGCAACACGAAGCCGAAACGAAAACGGCCCACAACATCGCCAAAATACCGTTTAGGTCCAGCCCTGCAGGAGGGGGAAGCGTGGCAGTGGGAAACCTCCCCTTAGTGAAAACGGCCTGGGACCGAAACCGACGGACCTGGACCCGCAAAAATAACGGGCGCGACGCCCTCTCGCGAACCGAAGACGGCAAATTCGCTAATCGAAGTGTCAGGGTAGGAGGTCTATCAACCTCCGAGAAACGTGGCAGTGGAAGGCCGGAGATTGAGCAGGGACCGACCGTCCCGGCATTCCTATAGTCATACCACGAAATGTTCTTAGAACCCAAAAATGTTGTAATAACAAAAACACTGTTCTTAGAACATAAGCCCGATGAGAAAAGACAAGACAGACTCCGCCAGAAATGTTCTACGAACATTTCGTGGAGACCGCAGAAGGTTCTCTACATTGTTTGGTGGGGCTATAGGCGAGCCAGGACGCTTCGCCACTGCTCGAGGAGAGGTGCGGAGGACACGATCCCTCCTGACTGACACACTTCGCGCGTAGACCACCTGGTCCGGCACGGCGCCTCCCCGGAGGGCATGCGCCCTCCCAGGAGAGGGGGGAACTTGTTCGTGGGAAGGCTGGAGAGTCCTCCTCCTCCTCCTCCTCCTCCTTCTTCGTCTCCTCCTCCTCCTCCTCCTCCTTCTCCTCCTCCTCCCTCCCTCCCTCCCTCCCTCCCCCCCTCCCCCCCTCCCTCCCCCCTCCCTCCTCCCTGCTCCCTCTCCAGCTGCCGTCCCGGCCCGAGGCTTCGGGTGCCGGTGCCAGGAACCTGCGAGCCTCTCGGGACTGCCGCGAGACGCGCCGACCCGCCATTCCAGCGTCTGGACGGCCGTGCCCCAGCAGGGGACGATCGCCACCACGCGCCGCACAGTCGAGCCAGCGTGGCACCGCCGCCTCGGAGCACGGAGGGGGATCGCCAGAGCATTCCTCCGCACCGCAGCAGCCAGAGAACTCCAAAAATATTCTAAAAATAATCCTCAGGCTATCTGAATATTCCCCCTGTAGAGGGACAGGCCCGACTTAACTCCAGGGCACACATCCCGTGGCCGCTGACCTCTCTTCTGCCGTGCGGCTCTCAGAGGAGCCGTCCTCCGAACTGCTCGCCCAACACCACAGCTCGATGGCGCAGTCCAGCACCAGCCAGCCAGCAGGTCGTCCTCAGGCAAAATTTTGGTCATGCGGCAAGTGCCAGAGGACGAACATATACTCCAGCAAGAAATGCAGATTCTGCGAGTCGGAGCCCGACAACAGCCGAGACAGTCTCCCAGACGAAGTCGACTCGACGCCGCCATGGATATACCAGTCGCGCACGAGAAAGCCAAAGTGGTCCACGAGCTGGACTCACCAAGGGCAATGGTGGCAAAAAGACACAGCAGGAGGTGGACCACGCCCGAGACGGGCTAATTAGGTCAGCTCATGCACCAAAGAGGAAGTCGAGGGACCAATTCACACCACCACTGCCCCGTCCAGCTCAGCGGGAGGAGGCCATGAAGCATAGATTATGGTTACCAATGCCCATGTCGAAGAAAGATATCATTGCTCATCGAGACCAGTTGAAGATCAGTCTCCACGGACTGGAGAAGCAGATCAACAGCGCCTACCAGAAAGGCCAACGATCGGCTCGCATCGCGGAGCCAGAGCAAGACTATGCACCCCTAGCGGATGTATTACTGGAGCAAGCCGGAGAGTCGCAGTTCGGAGGAATTGCAGGCAGAGGGGTCGACTTGGCAGGCTTGGCCCTCAGATCGCTCTACAACCTTGCCCAAATCCAGAACGTTTCAATCATGTTTTTGCTGGTGGATGTTGTGCAAGCATTTAGCAAATATATGCGTCAGCTTGTCCTGTCTACGTGCAATACAATGGAATATATTGCCATGCTACTCAAAGTTACAGGGCTGACGCCAGCAGCAATGCACCGCCTCATGGAGCGTCTCAGGGAGGGACCCACGGCTCTCGACAAGGCCCAAGTTGGCCAACATCTGGCGGCCCTCACGGCCTCGTCTTATCACGGCTCCTGGTTCACCCACCCTGGATCTACTCTGGTTGCATTTCCTTTGATGGGGACGGTTCCTGGACAACAGCTGGGGGACGTGGTTTTCAATTTCATCATGGCTGAATGTGCCAACCTGGCCAAACAACGGCTCACTTCCCTACGTATACCTACGTGTATACCGACACTAGAGGGAGCGTAACTCACACAGTTGCTTGCACATGCGCCAGTTACGACCACACTAGCAGTGGACATATGCTTTTTCGACGACGGATCCTTTGCAGTACTTGGCCCGCCCATGCACCTCCTCGCTATCGCGTCAGATGTTGCAGGCATAGTTGCGTCAAGCTTCTTGGAGCGAGGGCTCCAACTCAACTTCAAGAAAGGCAAGTCGGAGCTGCTCTTCCGGTTTTTTGGTACCCACTCCAAGCTCGCCAAAGTCGACCTCTGGAGGACGCGACAGGGCACGTTCAGGGTTAAAACCGACATCACTGGGGAGTTCACCATCTGTGCGGTCAGGCAATACCCCCACCTCGGGACCATCCTGGACGAAAAAGGAGCCATGGGACCTGAAGTAGCGCACAAGATTGCAGGGGTCGCCCAGTCCTCCCAGGTCCTGAGGAGACGTGCTTTTCCGGCACTAAGCAAGGACCCTGAAGGATTCCAAGCTACTTAACGACCAGGAAAGCGAGGACGACAATGAGCAGCATCAGGGATACCAGACAGACGTCAAGATGCGATTTGTCGACGCTCTGATCACGTCTTCTTTACTTTTCAACGCAAGCACTTGGATCCATCTGGAAAAGGGGGCTTTGAAGACACAGCGCAACAACATTATAGAAAGAATTACAGAGCAGCAGCAGGACTTCACAGGCATGATGATTAGGCGGTACCCGACCAGAAGGTACTCGCGGCGGTCATGCGACCCGACTTGGACATACAGCTACGCATACACAGACTACGGTTGCTAGGCAGAGTTCTCCACCATGGATCTGCACACCTCCTAGGTCTTATAGCGCACGCATACCGCACCTCCATCGTGCACCATGCCAAGAAGCTCACGTGGATGCACCACATACTGGACGGCTTGCAGTGGCTAGGCTCAATACACAACACCTATCGTGATCTACCCAGCCCATACCAGGATTTTGCCCCATGGGGAAGACGTATCCGATCCTCCCTCACAGCATGGAGACAAACTTTGAAGAGCGCGCAACACGGAGCGACGTGGGCGCAGGCAAGGGCGACACTGGCTGGCAAGGCCGAGCGAGATTTCTTTCAGATTGTGCAGTCCAGTGGCTTTCCTCTCCCAGCTACACATCCAGATCATCCCCTGAGAGCAGCAGACAGAGAGAGAGAGAGGAACCAATCACGTACATAGGTCCGTGGTGCTCGACAGCTTTCCCCAAATCAGGAGCACTCAAGCAACATGTCATACGTATGCATTACACCATGGTCTCACGGGTGGAGTATCACACGGGGGACACAACTGTTTGCAGAGCGTGCGCAACATACTTTGCATCCAGAAGACAGCTCAGGGACCATCTAGCATACGACCCAGCAAAATGCTGCCTCGCCCATCTCATGCACGGCATGCAGCTGTCTGCCCCAGCAGCGGAGGAGGCTGCAGAGAGAGACCGCCAGCACGGACAGGACCATCGAAAGACAGGTCTTGGATGATGGAGAGCGGCGCACCCAGCTATCCCAGCTAAGTGTGACGACGGTATGCTCTGGGAATCAGCCTGGGTATTTTCACATCTGGAGGAAGACGCTGCCAGAGAAGTTTTGCGATCATCCAGCTACGAGCTTACTCCTGAAGCGCTTCTGACCATGACCGACGTCTGGTACGAACGACCTGGCCAAAGGCCCTTGGAGGCCATCGACCCAGCCCAAGAAAGATACTACCTTTTCCGACCTCAGGAATTTCAGGAACCAGCTACACAGCAGATACCTTGGAGGATACAACGATCGGAAGTATACACATTAAATATGTACTGTGGGAGAAGACGGACAGGTGACATACAGCACCACATCGACAACATGAACGCGGGCACGCACGTCATATGCACTGTACTTTCTATCGGCATAGCTATTGACACTATAAAATGCGACATCACGAGGCAAGACACATTCGAGATGGATGTGGGCCGAGCACGTCAGGGCATGGAGAGTCTGCGTCACGGGAGGGGGTCCCCCTTGTGTGACCTTGAGTGCCGCCCGTTGGGAAGGAGGGGGACCCCCCCAATCAGGACCCACACTCACTATTGGGGTGTGCCATGGAGCAC